AAGAAGAAGAAGAAGAAGAAGAAGAAGAAGAAGAAGAAGAAGAAGAAAAGAAAGAAAGAAAGAAAGAAAGAAAGAAAGAAAGAAAGAAAGAAAGAAAGAAAGAGGTGCACTCCTTGACCAGCAAGCAAGAACGACCACAAGTTGAGGATTCTTCCCAAATCACACTTATTGGAGCCTCTCGGTTGAAGAAAAGCGGGGAGCGAAAGAGAGAGAGAGAGAGAGACAGAGACAGAGAGAGACAGAGAGAAAGCCAAGCGGCAGCTGCTTTTCTAGGGTGCAGGTACTCGGATACTGTCCTGATTGGTGAATACCATTCCACTGAAGCCCGGGGCTTCGGGATTGGCTAGGGACAAGGCTCAGTTATGCAAATACAGGCAAAGGGTACTCAGCCCCACGAGGCAACTTCAAAAGGATTTGTTTACCTCCAAGCTGCAGGACCGCCAGCGCCATTTCATAATGGCAATGTCCTGACGGCTCCTTACAGAAGAAGAAGGAAGAAGAAGAAGAAGAGGAGGAGGAGGAGGAGGAGGAGAAGAAGAAGAAGAGAAAGATTGTAACAGCCAGAGAAACAGGAAGTCTGATGTGTAATTGTGTCTCTCAGAAGAGTCAGAAGCTACACCATGAAGTCTCCCCAACATGGCTGTCTGAGCAAGGATGACACCAACAGACATGCACTCGTGGATGGGAAAGTGCATGAAGCCTCAGCCCTAGGCAAACAACAACAGGAAACTAAGGAATGCTGGGAACGGGGAAAAGTTTTCCCCAGGGAAGAGCACATAAATTGGTTATCCAACACCAAATGATCAGCCCAGAAGACGTGTACATACAGACTACATGAGTTGTACTTATGTACTTAAGGATACACATACATGCACACACATGTATATGTGTGCAACAACACTTTTAAAAGGGACCATGAATTTGAAAGAGAACAAAATGGGGTGCACATACAAAATACTCATACACATAAAATATAATTTTTTAAATCTTAAAGAAATGCAATTCAACCAGTAGAAAGGCTGATCCTGCCACAGACATAAGTCGCTTTTTTGCTTATTTTGTCATTGCTGAGACAGAAACTCTAGATAAATGAGGATGACCTTGACCTTCTGACCCTGCTCTGTTCATCTCCCAAATGCTGGGATTATATGCGGTACCACCATGCCTTGTCCCTATTCATATGCCATTTTACATGTGTGTATGAGAGGGTCTATGTATGTGGGCATGTATATTTGGAGTGTATAACCACATATGTGTGTGTGTACATGTGGAGACCTGAGAGTGATGCCAGGAACTTGGTGCCAGCTGTGCCCTTCTACCTCATCCAATCAAGCAGGGTCTCAAGCAAACAAAGCCCACTGTGGCTGGTCTCACTGATCAGCGCTACCCCTGCGCTCATCTTCCAGGCCTGGGATGGCAGGCAGCAGCCAAGCCCACCTGGCATTTGCGTGAGGATCCAAACTCCCACTCTCTAGCCAGTGAGCCCCCATCCCCCAGGCTCCCTTTACTTTTTTAAAGCTGTCGTCCACTACCGTCAAATAAATCTTTTCAGACACACACACACATTCTCATGAGTCACACCAGCAGAATCTCAGTATCTCTGGTATTATTGGTGTTTTCCCAATTACACTTCCTTAGGGGCATTAGTGAACTAAGCTCTCTCTCTCTCTCTCTCTCTCTCTCTCTCTCTCTCTCTCTCTACCTGAAATGTCA